GCCACATGCAGTCAGTAGAGTTATTTCAAATGTTCATTCAAAACAGGCTGTATAAAGAAGGACTTTTTACATAAACCCTGATTTTTAAAAGATGTTCAAACTCCACCAATTTCATAGATAGCATTTTGCAAAGGAATTATAATAAAGTAATCTTATTGATATACTCAGGACATCAGTTGAACAGTGGGGCACGGTTTGATTTCTCTAGACTCTAATGATATGGCATTTCTTCAATACTCGTTCTTTTATTACTTCCCATTTCCACATACACTTATTGTAGTCTAATGAGATCTCCTTGCCAAGTTCCAGTGACCCACATAGGATACAAAGGATTACATCAATGGGCACTACTCTCATGACAAGTCTTTATTTCATACATTCAAAAATTCCAGTAAGACGTCTATTCTTTCCCATGCATTAGTCGGTTGAAAGCAAGTGTAGATTTCTTATGTCCAGGGCCATTAAAAACACATTCTTTCCCTTTTAGTTATGCCCATAGAAAAGAACCTTCTCAGGAACTTCAACCCCCGTTGAACACATTTTTCTCTCCCTTCAGATTTTCTGTTTAAAACATCAATAACAGCCCAAACTGGTTTGGCTAGGGTGGATAGAGCATCGGCCTGTGGACTGAAGGGTCCCAGGTTCAATTCCAGTCAAGGGCATGTACCTTGGTTGTGGGCCCATCCCCAGTAGGGATTGTGCAAGAGGCAGCTGATCGATGGTTCTCTTTCATTGGTGTTTCTAACTCTCTATCCCTCTCTCTTCCTCTCTGTAAAAAATCAATAAAATATTTTTAAAAAACATAGTAGTTTTAAAACAAAAACAAACAAACAAAAAAAAAACATCAATAACAGATATATGAGGAGCAGACAAGGCGGCTCTAAGGGACCCAGGGCTGGCCCAGGACAACTTGAGCACCCCCAGGGCAAGGCCTGCATTTTCCGCATGATTGGGTTATGGGAGTGGAAGGGGGGGAGGGATGGTGCAGGGTGTGGAATCTTAAGTGATTTATTGTGCATTTCATGTTGAAAGCATATTTGTGAAAATAAAATAGCTGTCTAAGTGACGGGGGATCACAGCCCTTTTATCAGGATGGAATCCTGCTCATGGCTGGTATCCAAGCTCCTGAAACAGATCAGCAGACCTGGGCGTGGCCAGGCATTATTCTAGTCAGGTGGGAGGAAGAAAGCATCTGGGGGAACAAATGTTCAGCAGAATCTGTGGAGAGACCTTCCTGACCCACCTGGACAAAGACAAACGCTACTCTCACTCCTGGCTTCGAGATTCCTGCTGACCCACCCCTGTGAGCCAGCCAGTAACTCAGTCATGTCTGGAATTTAAATGTAAGATGAAAAAATAGATTCCATGACTCTATCAACTACAGTGCAAACTCTTTTAAAACAGCTGTTCTCTGTAAAACATGTCAGTAGATACCCACAACTTAAGCTTTCTCTGTAAGCCTTTAGCTCCCATGGGCTGAGCTGCAAGGCTGCTAAGAGTCTATCGTGTTTATGAACAAAATTATTCCAGTTGAAGCTTTTATTGCAATTGTACGATATAGTAAAATATTGTGTAAACAGATAAAATATAAATATAAATAAGAGAGTTGCTATTTCCATTAAAACTAAGCAAATACTCTGAAAGTACTTTAAAAAAAAGAAGCTGCTCAAAAAATTGCCATTGAATTAGATGTGTGAGATCATTGTAAAAGACTGGAGGAGTATAATTAGAAAAATCTCAAAGAGACTTATACATTTTTATTTCACTTTAAAGTATTGAAACTGATCAGCATAGAAGTGAATTATGGGCGTGGCTTTGCAGCTTCTAATCAGCAGACTCTTACTCAGAGGAAAGGACTTGGTTTGACAGTAGAAGATCGGTGAAGGAATGTAGATGTGAAATTTTGGGGTACAATAAAAAATTCAAGAGCATGCATAAATTGTTTTAAAACTCTTCACCTTTAACAGACTTTTAAAACTATTCAGCAAAAACACTGGCCACGTACACATTCAGTGTCTTCTACACTTCATCCAGGCAGGGCCACTATCTCTCCGTTTGGATTTATGGGATGAGGCATTTCCTGGGAGAGCTTGTACAGGAAGAGCTGAGATACCGGGTGATCTCTAGCCTTTCTATTTCCGTACAATAAGGTATAATGGCAGAAACTTTCCCCAGGGTAACTCAGAAAGCATCAGAGCTACCTGGCAGACCCACCAGGGGTCTTCTGATTCTCCAGCAGACAGAATTGCAAGCCTTACAGAATCCACCCTGGGCACAGACATAAGAGCTGCCTTTCACAGCAAAGCAAAACTGATACTTGTGTTGGGAAAGAGTCCTGGCATTTTTCTTTGATGATGTGGATCTTAATCTGAGTCTATAACCTCAGCTGTAGCCTTTTCCTGGGAAGACTCCCCTTGTACTCCAGAAATGCTTCTACATGGTAAAAAAAAAAAAAAAAAAAAAAAAAAAAAAAAAGCTTAAAAGAAGCAGTATAGTCATGTGATATACAATAGAATTATCAGCCTAATATAGTATATTTTTAGAACTGTAAGCCAGAAAAAAAAGATATTGGTATTGACACAACCCTAATGAGTAATTTCACCATTCCCACTGGGATCTACATAGTCAGTACAACAGGAATGAGTAACGGTTGGGCTGATTTCAGATAATATCACCTTCAACCCTGCATCTCTCCTAATCATTCTCTTTCTTACAGTGTGCAAATATGGAAAACATCAGATACATTGAAGTTGAAACAGAGGTGGAATAGTTGGGAGGGGGAGGAATTTCTGTCTCAGCAATTCCCACAAAGAAATAACAATATAAAAATAAGGGCATTCTTCCAGTGGTGAACAGTCCTGGTATTTTCCTTTTCTAACACACAGTGGCAACTTATTTAAATTATAAAACACACACAGCTAGGCTAGTGTGGCTTAGCAGTTGAGTGTTGACCTAGGAACCAAGAAGGCACCAATTCTGACTCCCAGTTCAGGTACATGCCTGGGTTGAAAGCTCCATCTCCATTGGGTATGCAGGAAATAGCCAATGGATGTTTCCCATCAGTGTTTCTATCTCTCTACCCCTGTCCCTTCCTCTGTCTCTGAACAACAACAACAACAACAACAACAACAACAACACACACATACACACACACACACACACACACACACACCTACACACTACCCACATCTGTTGAAAATTCACCACAGAACTATCCACACAAAAATAATGATACTTTATTTTAGATCAGAAGTATTTTTGAGCCTGGTCTGAGAGAGTGAAATGTTTCACTAATTACTATGCAGTGCATTTACAGCTTTCACTGTTTTTCCTCATTTCTCAAGGGATATACTTCTTCCAGAAGCACAGTTGCTGAACATTTATTTTTATTGTTTCATGGGAGAGAAGCTGAGGTACCCAACTGGCCACTATAATTCAGTAAAATCACCTGCCAGAGAATTTACTTAACTTATACCTTTGCCCCAAGCTGTGCTTCAGGGTCTGTCATATTTTCCTGTGCGAACTTGAGAGAAAATAGTCTGTTAGAATAAAACAAATTTAAAAAGATACTGATACACTTCCTTCCAATTAATATTTTTCACACAAACTTACTGCTCTTTTCTTTCCTTCAAAAATGCCAACTAACATGATATGCCAATTGTTAAAGCCAAAATACAATTTACGTGTATCCTTGAAGAAATATGCCTTTTTAAAAAGGACATTTCTTCATTGCCAAGGTGATATGTGTTCATTGTAAATATGTGGAGCACTAAAGAAAGTTAAAAAAAAATTAAACCATAATCTTACCAACCCATGATAAGCATTGTAAACATTTAGGTAAACTGCCTTCCAGTGAAAGAATATCATTCCTTAACATCTTAAAAGCTATCTTCTATTCCTTAATAAAAACATCTATTCCTCAGTAAAAAGCTTTGTTACAAGTATTCTTCCAGAACCTAACGTTTCTTGTAATCTTTGGGAAAGTATTTGACAGCGAACTTGATGTGACAGTTGAAAATGCTTGCTATACTGAATATTAAGTAACAGGTTCTAAAATCTAACAGATATTGACTGATGAACAATATACTTGAGCAGAACACTGTTCAAAGGGATAGTTTTTAAAAATCAGTTCAGTTACTTTAAGAATGAGAATTTCAAACTGAGCTTTGAGACAATACGATTCGGTGCTTCAGTAAAATGTATTTGTTTGGTTTATATATTTTAAATATGTCCTAGGATGGAACAGGAACAGAAAATTTGACCAGATGTGAGTCAATCTGTAGAAGCATGGAAAACTCTTCAGGAAGCTTCGGTGACCTCCTGGTATTCAGTAAAAAGGAGAACGCACCTAGCTTTATTTTGCCCACATTTGGAGATTCTGAGGCTGTGTTAGTTATTACGTATCCACAGGTTCCATGATAAATATGTTCATTATCTGGGACCTTTTGGAGAAGAGCATCTTGAAAGCCAGAGTTGCAATTTTCAAGAGTACTTAAGAGCAATATAGAGTGTTGCTGATAATTTAGAACTTGAATTTTTAGTTTCTCTCCAAATACATCAAGCCATATTTAGTATACTCAAATGTCTTCATATAAATCCTTTCAGACAGTTGGAAGCCTATAGTGGGGACAATTCACTTGAGTAAATATCCTGAGAACTTATATTTTTGACAACCAACTTCGGTTTGCCTGTGGGTGTGTGTGGGTGTGTATGTGTGTGTATGTGTGTGTGTGTGTGTGTGTGTGTGTGTTCAACTGAGCATCACTTCATTTTGCAATGTGTAGCAGTGAAACTTTTACAAGCATTGAGATAAAAGCAAGGTGGAGTTACCATACTAATAACAGATTTGAACACTGAGCCATGACTCAGAATCCAAGGTCTATACCATTTCCAAGGAGATGTTCATTGTCATGAGGAAGAAATCAACCCCCCACATCTGAGAGAGGTGAGTGAAATGCAAGGTCTGAAAGGCACAACAGTGACACCCATATGACTCTTACTTGAGGGCTGTTCTGTAGTGGTAGATCGCTTCTCTGTTCCGACCTTGATCCTTCAGGAAATTTGCGTAGTTGTAGTGAACCTTGGCATTGTGGGGCAGAGTTTGAACTCCAGACCTAGAATTAATAAAAAGGAATTTAAAAAAGAGCAACAAAGAGTACTGCTTAGGAATGTTGTCCTTCATATCTATCTATCTATCTATCTATCTATCTATCTATCTATCTATCTATAAAAGCCTAATATGCAAATTGCCCCCTTGGGCAGGAATTCTACCAACCAGGAGTTTGACTGCTCACTATGACATGTGCTGACCACCAGGGGCAGCATGGAATGAAGGAAGGACCCATTGGTAGCCAGAAAAAGCAGGCCCCGGCTAGTAGCTGGCAACCACTAGGGACTCTACCCGTGCAAAAATTTTGTGCACTTAGCCTCTAGTTTATATTTCTTTTTAAACCCTAAGCTGAGGATACGTTTTTATTGACTTTTAGAGAAAAAAGAAAGGAGAGAGAGAGAGAGAGAGAGGAGAGAGAGAGAGAGAGAGAGAGAGAGAGAGAGAGAGAGAGAGACATCACTGTGAAAAACATTGATAGGCTGCCTCCAGTATGAGCCCCGAATAGAGATTGTACCTACAACCCAGGTATGTGCTCTGATCGGGAATCAAACCAGCAAACTAGCAACCTTTTGATCTAAGAGATGATAATCCAACCTACTGAGCCACATGGCCAGGGTAGTTTCCTTCATATTCTACTCACAATTTCATGAGTAAAAAGTCCATTGCACCCTTTTAAGTCAAGTCTTTCACAATTTGTGAATTATATGAGTTACTTAACATGCTTCAATGGAAAACTATGAAGGCAGTGCTTAGTGGCCCACAACTACACAGTCATGCTAACTGCACCCGAAGCAGAGGTGACAGGACATGGAGATGGGTGAATGGTTGGAGAACAACCCTGCATGTTCAGGTTAATTCATTTGTTCCTTCCTTGATTCCTTCATTCGCTTACAGATTTTCATTAAAAATTTGAGATTATCTACAAAAAATATTCATTATAGGATGAATGAATATGGATTGGCCTCCCTATTAAGTTTTATTAAAAATTAACCTTTACCATGGACTAAGTCTGATCTATTTTTTAAAACAAATGTCCCACCCATGTGACTCAGTGGTTGAGCATCTACCCATGCACCAAGAGGATGCAGGTTCAATTCTCAGTCAGGGCACATGCCAAGGTTGCAGGCTTGATCCCAAGTAGGAGTTGTGTAGGAGGCAGCTGATCAATGATTTTTCTCATCATTGATATTTCTATTTCTCCCTCTTCTTTCCTCTCTGAAATCAATAAAATATATTTTTAACATTTTTTTTAAAAAAAGGTAGCTAGGATATTTTGGGGGGATGAGGAATGAGGCTGAAAATATGGACCATAAATTCATATCAGGAACAGTTGGCATCCTGATTATTTCCCTACTCTGCACATCCGGGTGGCTTTTTTCAATGATTCTCTCGCTCTCCAGCAGAAGGCAGTTTACTCTCTAGAAAGGCCCTCACTCAGAAACAACAGGTCCAATTGAAGTTTGGGGGCAGAAGCGCTCCTCAAATGTAGATCAAGTGAAATCTGTATTCTGAACATTGGGGATCCCCCCGTTCTTTCATCACAGAAAGCTCTCTGAATGCTGGCAGCCAGGACTGGTCCCCCAGGGAGGAGACTGGAGGAATCCTCTGCTCTCAGTGGAAAGATTTACAAAGGCTGACCTTCAGCGGGTGCTCCAGGGAAACCATCCATTTCCTTTTCCCCCCTGTGGGGGCCCCCCCTAGCTGACACACAGAGCTAGGATTTTAACATAATATTTAATATGGATATGACCCAAGTGAATTTAGTCACAGGGACAGGATGTGGGTCAGTGTGAGAGTAATGGCTTTAAAAAAATTCAATTTCTTTCCAGGAAAATTTCTGATTTTTCTACCCAGAACTAAACAGTACATGGTAACAGGTTTTATTTATTTATTTATTTATTTATTTATTTATTTTTAATATTTTATTGATTTCAGAGAGGAAGGGAGAGGTAGAGAGAGGTAGAGAGAGATAGAAACAACAACGATGAGAGAGAATCATTGATTGGTTGCCTCCTGCACACCCCTTACTGGGGATCGAGCCAACAACCTGGGCATGTGCCCTTGATAGAACTGAACCCAGGACCCTTCAGTCCACAGGCCGACACTCTATCAACTGAGCCAAACCAGGTAAGGTGGTAACTGGTAGGTTTTAAAGAGAACTTCGATTTCAGCGTGAGTATTAACTGGCCTATTTACTGGGATGGAGCCTTCCCTGTGTGATCAGCATAGTTGTTCTAATTTATGCTGCACCAACTGAGGAACAGACACTCAGGCCTGTGGAATCACGTTCCTGAATGAGATCAGAGCACTGTTCAGCGATGGCGAGAGGAAATAATAATATTCATAACAGGCAAGCAGCTGTGAGTGGAGCAACTGAATCCTAACAACACACATTCTCTTATTCTTGTTTTTGACTTTTAAGTTCTCTCTGTGGTTTTGTTGTTGTTAATGTTGTATTTTTTTAGCCTCTCATTTTGCAATGAACATTTTGTTAAAAAAAAAAAAAGGCAAACAAACAATTGGCCAAGGGCAAAACTTTCCATGTTGCTATCCCTGGCCACGTTACTCTTCCCCCAGGATCAGACTCCTCAAGTTTGCTTTCTTGGTGCTATGATTGAGTACTCACAACTGTGTTAAAGGAAACATACAGCTTTACACATACTTAGTCCACAAGGAAATATAGTGTCCATAAATTATATGACTGGGTCCCAAACCCTATTAATAATTCAATAATGATTATGAAAAAAAATCTCCCTTTCAACTCAGGATCTTAATGCATACACTTTGTATTTTCCCCTCACATCCTTCATTTGCAGAGACTTGAAAAAAAAATAACAGAAATAATAAATAACAAACCACCACTTCTATATAGAGTATATTTCCAAGTTTATAGAGCATCAATTTGTTTTGTTGGCAGGAGAAATATCCGCAAATTCCTGATTAGATAAGAATCTCTTTTTTTTAAAGAGTGGTGTTCAGCCAAAGTTTAACAGGAAAGATTAAGAAGAAAGTGTCATTCTCCTCAATTTTGACCTTGCTTTAACCTGAGGCTTCACAATGCCACACATAGTATGGTCGATTCTTAAGAAATGCTCATTTTGAATCAAGCACCCATTTCCATGGATTATCTCATTTTATCCCTTCAACAACCTGCCAGATGGGTAGTATTAATGTGTTTTCTATATTATAGATGAGGAAATTGAAGCTAAGTTATATTAAGACCTTTTTCTAAGGTTACAGACCTAGTAAGTAGTTGAGCAGAGATTTCTACCAAATTCACAATCATTCCTGAATGGTACCACAAGAGACTAGTAACTTTAGACTTTCATGATCACAAAGTTTATATAATTGGTAAGCAAACTATGGCCTTGTGGGCCCACAGATGTGTCAATGTGTTGTCAATCTATTGTCTTTTTGGTTTCTTTCCTGAGACAAAGACAAAAGAGAATGCAAGTCCCACTAAGCCTAAAATATTTACTATCCGTCCCTTTACAAAAAAAATTTGCTAACCCTGGTTTACATTATGTGTCCTGAAAAGTCAAGTGATCTCTTGGCTCGGCAATTCAGAGGAGAGGAAAGAAAAATGTGTTTCCTACACAGGGGGAGGATGATTTAGGTCAGACAATCTTAATCCATCAGTGGTCAACAGTTCATGAATGGGGTTCCAAGGGAGAGAGAGACAGAAACATCAATGATGAGAGTCATTGATCGGCTGCCTCGTGCACACCCCACACTGGGGATTGAGCCCACAACCCGGACATGTGCCTTCACTGGGAATCAAACTGTGACCTCCTGGTTCATAAGTCAATGCTCAACCATTGAGCCACGCAAGCTGGGCTAATTGTTTATAATATTGTCAAGCCGAAACTGGTTTGGCTTGTGGATAGAGGATCGGCCTGCGGACTGAAAGGTCCCAGGTTCGATTCTGGTCAAAGGCATGTACCTTGGTTTCAAGACATCCCCAGTGGGAGGTGTGCAGGAGGCAGCTGATCAATGATTCTCTCTCATTGATGTTTCTAGCTCTCTATCCCTCTCTCTTCCTCTCTGTAAAAAATCAATAAAAAATATTTTAAAAAAGAAAAGAAAAACTACCCCATATAAGTAGTGAGATCACAATGAGACCATATGTCTTAATGATGGTCAATAGATTTATTGTTTGGAACAGAGGAAAATACTGAAATAGGGCCTCTGCCCAGGACACCAGCTTATGTAGGACAATTGCAAGGTTTTCTTCCTCAGTTCAGCCATCTCTTAGTTTTCTGGCCATTATGGCTAATTTAGATTTTTCTCATCCTTCCATACTCAGCTCAGGCCTCCTGCAAGAGAACAGTCCTTGAAGGCCTGGGCTGGTTTTAGTCACCTGCCTGCACTTACAGTGTCTTGCATCTACTTCTGTTTACTGCTTGCTACATTGTATCAAAATATGTACATACATCTGCCACCCATGCCAACTTCTGGCTTCTCTACAGTCAATTTCTACCTGCCCCCTATCCTAGAATACACTGGAGAACAAGAATCTGAAAACCTCACATAGGATTTACCATATGCCAGACTCCGTCTTACACATCTTTCACATATCTCTTTTTTTTTTTCTTTCTTACACTACATTCAGGAGATTAACACTATTATTATTATCAAACTTAAAATGAAGAAACTAAGGCATAGAGTGGTTCAGTATCTTGCCCAAGTCCACACAGTTATTAAATGGAGGAACTTGGAGTGGAGCCAGGAAGCTGAACTCCAGACCCCACACTCAATCACTAACCTTGTCTTAAAGTTTCTCTAAGCACATATGTGGAATGGTTGTGTTTTAGTAACCAACCGTTCACTTACTACATGCTTCCATGTAAAAGAACAGAAACTTCTGGATGTAAGGTCAATGAACTTTTTGCTTTTCTTTTTATTTTATTTTATTTAAAACTGCTGGCATCAACTGTGGAGGGTTGGAACACTAGCTTGTTACTCTTGAAATAAACTGCTGCCTGCCAAAATCCATTCCTCAAGTTGCCCTGATTGAGCAGTAAAAATCAATAGGAGACACAACCACCGTTAGTATCTTTATCCAAGGAAAGGATTTAACACAGGGCAGAACCTTTTTAAGTTTCTCATTAAAGCACTCACTACTGAAAGCAAAAGCAAAAGAAAAAAAAAAAAAAAAAGAAAGAAAAGGAAAGGAAAGCCAACAGTTATATTCCTGAACTTCAATGCCCTTGTGTTTGCAGAATGGCCTCCCCCCTAGGTAATAAGAAGAAACAAGTCTACTGTGTGTAAGATCTGTACTGAAGGTGGAGGGTATGACAGAGACTAAAAAGAATCTGATGGCTAAACATGACAAGAAAGTTCTTAAAAACACACACACACACACATCCAAACAAAACACCTTACATGTCAGCAGGTCCCTACAATATCCATTGAAATAATGATGCTGGCAATGATAATGACAATGAATTAGCAGTAATAAGTAAGCTAATAAGACATACATGCCAGATTAACTTTTCTATTAAAAAGTTAAATTGCCAAGTAGTAGGGTCAGATCTATTATTTTACAATAGTCGAAGAGTGCAGTGAAAATTTGTCATGTTTGTTCATTTATTCATTTACTCATTCATTCACTCTTTCTTGGCAGCCAAGAGTCTGTGCCCCTCCTACAGAAGTGGGATTTCCTATGGGGAATTCTCTTCTGTCTCAATGGAGCCCTGAGGTGCTCTGTCCCTCTCCCCGCCGTAATTTGCCCCAGGAAGTCAGAGGGGCTTCTCTGGCCAGGTCAGTCATATCAGTGCCCTGTGAGGATGAGGGGTAGGCATGTGACCTACGCTCAAGCTCAGCCAGAGGACTTTATTTTCCCAGGACTTGGAGGTGGAAGAGGAAAAAAACTGGTGTAAGTTTACCCATTCATCCCTGTGAGGGTGCACCTGTGTTCAGGACAGACTATCCAGATGTCTGTTTCCTGTTGGCTACATGCCAGTTTCTTCACTGCCTGTCATTCTGGGCAGGTTTTTATGCTTTTCCAATATTTACCCTTTTTTTTCCAAGTGACCCCAATTCTGTTTCAGTTATTTGCTTCAGAAGAATAAGTGGTGGCTACCAGCTGAGCAGGGAACCAAGTGAAAACCATGTTCACTGAACTGGCCAATTGTGTCCTAAGTCAGGATAGGAGACTGGGAAAATACTGTTGGGAGGCCAAGTGTGGCAGTGATAGGGGAGCACTACGACACGAGGGAGACAGACTAAGCCCCAGGAACAGAGTATGATGAGCTTCAGCCCCAAAGAATGTTTATACTTTATGATAAGTTTAGGGCTGTATGCTGACATTGTCACATTCAGAAGCAGCTTTCACATAAAAACTTATTGGGAGATAAAACAGTCTTTCATTTCCTCATTCACAATTAAAGTTCAAAATAAAGCCGCTAGATCACAGATCACAACATAATATTCTGGAATATTTGAAGAAAATGCATTGCATTTCTCTTCCTTCTTGTCATGTGCTTCTCTTTCCCATTCACTGGAAAAGCTCGTTTCCTTGTATTTAGATCTCATTTTACAACCCTTCTCATCATGAAGACCCAAAAACATTCCCATGAGCCTTATTTTCATACATTCACTTAGCACATATATCTTTAAAAAAAAAAAATCAGCCGGGACCGGTTTGGCTCAATGGATAGAGCGTCGGCTTGGGGACTGAAAGGTCCCGGGTTCGATTCCGGTCAAGGGCATGTACCTTGGTTGCGGGCATATCCCCAGTAGGGGGTGTGCAAGAGGCAGCTGATCGATGACTCTCTCTCATCGATGTTTCTAACTCTCTCTCTCCCTTCCTCTCTGTACAAAATCAATAAAATATATTTAAAAAAATCAAAGTTAAAACAAAAATTAACATAAAAATGTTTTTAACAAAAATTAATCAAAAAATTTTCTGGATGAATAAATATTGCCAGACCCATGTTAGCTCATTTGTTTGGAAACAAGTATTTAAGCAAAAGAATGAATGGGAAGAGGTCACTCTGATTCATCAAATCATACCTGAAGAGGGACTCTCTTGACAGCCAGATTTCATTCTGCTTTACAGTTTTCCAGGAGAAAAGCAGCAGCAGCAGCACAGTGGACACTGTCAGGGTGGTGGCTCCACATCGATTTAGCCAATTGCAGAGCTTGCTTAGTCCATGCACAAAAAGGATGCAGTAGCCCATGCTGGAAAACAGGGTGGGGGGAGGCAAGGTTACTTTGGGGGTGCAATGGCATCCCCTTCAGCATTCCATCCATATAACTAACTTTCAAATGGAGCTTGACTTGTGGTAGAGAAACAACAGATATCAGCGCCCCTGTCTTATACAACCTCTACATGGCAGTCCTTTAATGGGTACTTGGGATTCTGGCGGGTTGCTTGGCATTAAAGTGGAGAATAGGAACCTATCGGAGGCTCAGGCTGCCTTGGATCTCAGCAGCCTAGGCCTCATGACAAGTCTCTCATGCATGTTCTTGGGTCCGGAATGGATTCTTTAGCCCTTGACCCCTCATGTTACTGGCATTGTGTGGCACTGCTGGCACCATGTGTCCAAATGTAGACTCTAGGCTATAGCAAGTCCCATCACAGCTTTGTGGTAGACAGTCCCCAGGAGCTCCCTCTCAGGTCCTAGGAAGGATGCTGTATACCGAGGCCACTGGTTTCTCTCTCCAGGGATGTGTCCCCTAGTATGTCTCTGGCCAGTCAAGTCTTTAAGCTGAAGGAAAATCTACCCACAGGCCAATTCCTTAGCCTCATAGTTTGGAGCTTCTCACAGACAAGCTGTATTGATGTGATTCTCTTGCTGAGGCTGGCTTGGCTTTCCAGACAGACATGAAGAAGCCCTTACATTATGAGAGTGGAATTTTGGCATACTGAAATCATGTCTCTAAACACCTTTGACTTGGACAGGACATGGTTCCTAACATCATCTATGCATCCACAGGGATGCTGCTTATGTGCTGATTAGCCTCGGAAAAACACAAGCATTGAGTTGTACACCTTATTGCTCTGTGCATTTTAGTCAAAATTCACTTCATTCTAAAGATTATAATGACAGATTATTATGGAATATTTTAAGAACAAAGCAAGCTTGTGTAAAGAAATCCTACATTGTCAGACTACTAATGCTATTAGAAGCCCCAAAATTGGTATAGCGCACTCACTTATTCAATGATCTATTCATTTTCTCTCTGTTATGTGACTGGCAATATGCTGAGCAATGAAAATATAACTGTGAACAAAACAGAGGCCTTGCCCTTAAAGAACTCTGGCCTAGTGAAGGAGGATGGCTTTCTAAAAGGAAATACCTGAATACTCACATTTCCTTTAAAGGAAACACCTCTCTGCTTTCCTCCTCTTTGCCTTTCTAAATGTCTGTGCTTTGGTATCACGGGCAGATGAACAAGAGAAGCACTTGAAGTACCTGATTTGGAAGCTCTGGAATCAATTCAAGGTAGAGCTCTGATTCCATATTACAAGTCCCAGACATTCATTAGTCCAGCTCCCTAAAGCTTTAGGGTCCACTTTTTGGCCAAAGGGAGTCACCACCCAACTCACCACTAGGGATGATGGTTTGAGCCAAGGAGGCCCATGGCCTGATCCCTCATCCCAGTCACTAAATTTGACTGCCGCAAATACTTAGTAGAGCCTTGTAAATTCCAAACATGGTCACTAATGCAAAACAAAACAACAAAATATAAAAACAAAATCCCTCTTCACTGCCTTAGAACGTTGGCCTGCGGACTGAAAGGTCAAGGGCAAATGCCCAGGTTGCAGGCTCGATTCCCAGCGGGGGGCATGCAGGAGGCAGCTAATCAGTGACTCTCTCTCATCATTGATGTTTCTATCTCTCTCCCCCTCTCCCTTCCTTTCTGAGATCAATAAAAATATATGTTTTCAAAAATCCTTTTCACACTTCCACAACTCCATATGTTTGGCCATAAAGGTATTCAGATTTTTCTAAAAATCTCCTGTCTTTATACAATGGACCACGCTGATGCCATCACATGGAAGCTTCAGTGCATGAAGCTGCTTGCTATTTACTCCTGTAGCTCCTGCCCGATCCCAAATCCTGACTAAGCAGGCTGTGTCTCTGGCCATACGAAGGCCTTCTGGGCTCCACTCTTTCATTCACCAGGCATTTAACAGACACAAAGTACCTGACACTGTGACAGGCACCAAGAACAGACCAGTGACTAGGACAGACAATAATCCCTATTCTTGTGAAACTCACATGAGTGGGGAGGAACAGAGTATGCATGCACACAGAGAGTAACATGCGGTTTTGGGTGGAGAAAAAGCCAGCAGGAAAGAGAACAAGGAAGTCCAATGTTGGGTTGGAGGTTGGGTTTAATATGGATGCTCAGGGAAGGCCTCAGTGAAAAGACGACCTGTGAACAGAGTTCTGAAATGAGGGGGAGGGCAGGGGACACTGGTGGACCCTACATCAGCAAGGGCAGCTCCTTCTCACTGTGACCTTCACAGAAAACAGGGAAAGGTGAACTGACTCGCTGAATGAGGTCACAGAGCTCATATAGATTCCGGAGCCCATGCTTCCTCACACCTGTCACTCAGCTTCACCTACTTCCTTCCCAACTGCTCCACTCATGAAATCTTAATTGTTTTCTGCCTCCGTGTAGGAAACAGAGCTGCGGGCAGAGGGGCGGGGCGGGGGGGGGGGGGGGGGGGGAAAGGAAAGCACTGAGATTCCAACAGCCGCAGGGCATTTGTGGAATCTGTCCAAGTGGCCGAAGACAAGGAGCAGCAAAGACCACACGTATAAGCAAATATAATCAGCTACCTTATGTTTATAGGTTTGCTGAGTGTTTCCTATGTGCCAGGCACTGTGCTGAGTACTTTATATGGGACCAGGGCATTACCGGCTTTACACATATTATCCAATTTAAACTTAATCCTCTGTAGCTTCCATTTCATAAATGAGGAAACTGAAGGCAGGGCATGCATGAAGTTGGTATTCCAGGTAGAAACAGATGTCTCCATACCCGGCTCCTCTAAATACAGAAAGGTCCCCAGGACACTATGAGCTGCAGCAGAACAGAAGTGCTCTGGTACAGGCTTTACGTTTGGGGGTTTGCAGTGAGGAAAAGGATTCACCAGAGAATAAAGAGTCTAGAACTACATCTTCTGTGCCACTCTCGAGTTCTGTGGCCCCAAAGAGACTTCCTCAGCTCATGAGGCCTTATTTGTTTATATTGCTAGGGCTTCATATTGCCTGTGTTAAAGGCAACTTAGCCGGGCTGGCGTGGGGACAGGTTGGGCTGTGCTAATTCCCAGTTCAGTCATCTTCCTACTGGGTTTGCTAAAATAAGTTTTTGTTGTTACAAGAAAAAAAAAAAAATCTCCACTGATTTTAGTATTTGGTAAAACTTTGATTCAATCTTAAGTTATACGGAAGAAGCACATGCATAGATGTTTCTTCAGAAGGGTCCCCAATATCAGAGAACAGAGGTAGTGTTTCTTCAGAGGTAACATTTCTCATTTTGCAAGCTGAAAACAGATACTACAGTATTGTTTCAGTAGCAACCCATGTAAGATTTAAAAATTCCATTTCAAATTGATAGGTATGATTGGAAGATAGTTCTCAAAATTGAAAGTGAACAAGAATCATCTTTTCTCTAATTTTCCATGTCTAGTCTGCACATTCATTTATTTTATTTATTTGTTAATCCTCACTTGAGTTTATTTTCCCATTGATTTTTAGTAAGAGTGGATGAGAGAGAGAGAAAGAAAACACACACACACACACACACACACACACACACACACACACAAAACTTCAGTGTGAGAGAGATGTATTGATTGGTTACCTCCTGCACGTATCCAAATCCAGGCTGGGATCAAGCCTGCAACACAGACTTGCCCTTAACCAGAATCGAACCCGGACCCTTTAGTCCTTGGGCAGATGCTCTATCCACTAAGCCAAACTGGCTAGGGCTATCCATGCATTTAGGGTTCAAATGACATCTTTTTCTAAGAGTAGGCAATTTGTTATTTTTCTTTCCCCCCCCCTCAAATACATACATGTTATCTTCTGTGGTTTCAATTCTTGATCAGTTCTATCCACAATATTGTTGTTGCCTTCTCTTAATCCTGTCTATTCTTTTCCAGTCTCTACTTATTCATGTTTTCTTAAAGTAGCTTAAGAATTTGCTCTTTGGCACCGAAGTGAATAAATCACCCTTAATCTGGCATATGAATGGATATCCAAGCACATTCTACGACTTTATTTGAATGCTCTCAACAACTATTTCTGCTTCATTGGTTCTAAATGATTTTAGGCCTTTTAAACATTCTAATGTGGTTTTTATAAAATATAAAAAAAGGTAACCAGAAAAGTGTATGCTTCTCTTGAGGTAAAAATAAGAGATCAAAATTCCTGTGAAAGAATTATTTAAGCCCCAAACTCTCCTCCCTATTCAAAAAGGACATGGACAAAGATGGCATTTATCATCAGAAGAAAGGATTATTCAATTTTTTTTTTACCCTAAAGCCATGCATTGCTGAACAGATAGCCTACTTCTGTTCCTTTTATCCACAGCTTTGGAGTGAAAGGAAGTGCAAGTGAGAGGAATGTGGTACTTTCTGTCTTCCCTAGCTTAGGATGGAGGGATATGAGGTATAAGTGGCTTGCTCATTATTAGATATAAAGATGGGAGATGAAATAACATTGTTGGTCTGACTCATTCCGGGCCTATCTTGTAACATGGACAAATTGGCCCCCTGGGACTGAAGGGACTCACCTAGTCTTCAGTGAGGGAGGGCGTGACTTAGCCATGTTCATGAATGAGATTCTAAGGCCAAGAGTGGGCTCTATAATAACTTAGAATATTTCATGAGTAGGAAGGTCACCTTCCTCAGAAGGATCAGCTGTTTTATTTCATTTTCCCGTTGTTTGGTAAAGTCTTGTGAGATAACACAGAATGTCGGCATAAAAATAATGACCTATATTTTCTCGGATGCCATTGAACACACTGTGTGTATGTTTTCCTGAAAGTACTGATACTGAGGATGTGGAAATGGCTGTTTCTTGTCAAGGTCAATAATGTGAAGAGGGTCATGCAAAGCAGATTCCTGAGTATCTAAAAGGCTTGGGACATCTTCTTCACCTTCATCCAAGCCAATGTGTAGGTTCATTAAATGCAACAGGCATAATCCAGAGTCCTGACACCTTCCGAGGGGTCTGCCAAATTCTCTGTGGCCCTCCTGGAAGAAATGGGCAGCTCTTTGTCCAATTCTCTACTATTCTCCACTAAGATGGGATGGCTAATCATTGCTAGGTGAAATCTTTGCCAGAAAAAGCCCCCCTTTTCACAGAAAACTGTCAATATTTACAACGGCTCTAATGGTCATTAGAACTCTCTACGGTCACAGCATATAAGTTTCCCCACTTAAGCTTTAATTTCTGACTCAGCCAGAACCATTTTAGTTGCACAATTTTAGATAACAATGGAATCCATCCATTATCATAAGTAAAACAGCTCCCCTGTGGTATTAGTTACAATGATGACTGTAAAGAATATTGGAATTCATTAGAGTTATAATGTCTCATACACAGAAAAAAAAATCTTGAATTTCCTCCAATTTCAGCCTTTTAAAATCTGTATTAAACTCTGAGGTTTGACCTGGCTGGTGTGGCTCAGTGATTGAGCACTGACCTAAGAACCAGGAGGTCACAGTTTGATTCCCGCTCAGGGCACATGACCAGGTTGCAGGCTCCATCCCAATGTGGGGAGTGCAGGAGACAACTGATCAATGACTCTCTCATCACTGATGATTCATTCATATCTCTCTCTTTCTCTCTCTCTCTCTCTCTCCTTCTCTCTCCCTCTCTCTCTCTCCTTCTCTCTCCCTACCCTCTCTTTCTCCCCCTTTCCCTTCTCCCTTCCTTTCTGAAATCAATAAATATATATTTAAAAAAAAAACAAAAACAACAACAAAAAACCTCTTGTGTTTGTGCTCAGAGCTGTGGACCTGGCCTAGTAACCTGGCCTCTTTAGCAGCCCCCAGGACCACCTCTACAGGGCAGGAGAGCACCTCCATTTCCCTGTCACATGGCTTTGGCATCTGCAGAGACTACAGCTCTGGAGGGGGAGTGGCCTGGCTGAGCAGTGATGAAGTGGGTACTAATACAGGAGATGCTGGGCAGTAAAGGGAAACCCTCGGAAAATGATTACGTACACATCTCCAACACTGCAACGCACAGCTGCAGGAATGTGAAGGGAAAAGGAGAGCGCCTTTCTAATGCAGACGGGTTTACTGAAATTGATTCTGGATGACTCTGCAGCAAGTGTGCACAATGCAGCAGAATCCAAATGGCTTTTGAGAGGCAGGCACTTGCTCTTAGTAATATTGATGTTTTCTTCATATCCCGAACATTTATTTTAATCCAAGTCAGTTTATTCCTAGCAGGAAAAGGGCAGGGACAGCACTTGGTCTTTTTAGAGAAAATGAAATAAAGTCAGAGAAATGTCTATTTGAGATATAGCAGCATGGGAAGAGCAGGTGTATGGGGGACACACCCACCTGGGTGAGAGGAACCCCTGGCTTTAAATAAGATATTCCACATGGTTGATGACAACATTATGGACTTCCATAATGTTTACCTAAGGGTCTCTTTCAAAAAAATAAAAGTTAGCCTCCTGTCTATCACAAATTGTTCTCTTTATCTGGACTAGAAATGTGTATTTCACATGCAATTCTTGTCACCCAGATCCCAGAAGACTGAGATCTTGCAGCTCTTGGAAGTATCGAGTCCTGATTATCAAATAGAATTGTGCTGTAAGTACTTTAACTAAATTCACATTTCCTCTTTCCTTTTCAGTTGAGCAGAACACTAAGAAGTCGAGGTGCGAGGTCTGTCCATAGGCAAGGATCTGCTTCCCAGCTCTGCCACTCACTAGCTATGTCAGCTGGTCATTTGGTCACCCGGGGCAGGTCACTTCACTTCTCAGACCAAGGTCTTCTCTTTGTAAAATAGGAATAATGGTGTCAGCTGTCCCAACCGATGCAATAATAATACTAGATATTTACTGATGATGTACAATAAAAACACTTTCTAGATTTTATGAGCGACCATCTCATTTGTGCTCACAGTATCTCACTGAGTTGGGTGCTATTACTTTCATTGTATACAGATAAGGAAACGGAGGCTTAGGAAACCCATGCTCATGTTTAAGCCAGAATTCCAACACAGGCTCTCTGGCTTCAGTGGCATGCTGTCAACCACCGCCTACAGCGTGAATTAATTGATGCAATGAATACCACATGCTTAGCACAGTGCTGTCATGTGATAAAGATTCAATAAAAGTTTTGCTACAATGAGTGTTAAAATAGTATTAATGAGAATTATACTATTTTAAAGAATATTGTGACCTGTTAAATGTTTAGAAAGAAAGATGCCTTTTTATTAATAAGGAGCTATTTAATTAAGGGGGAGACTAAGATTTACTTATTTTTGCAAACTCAGATTTCAGAACAGTATGCCTAGCAATGGTGCTCTGTGAATAGCTGTTAAATGAAGACTAAATATCGACTCCACTCGGAATCCTAGGTATTACAGAGAACACCTGACTGAAGCCACTTTCAACTGGTCTAAGCAAAAACATAACTAGAATAGGTACTGAGGTCCCCTTTAGCCCTTCATATTTCTAATTATTGGCAAGGCCTCATAAGCCTGTTATTGTAAGGCCATACAGAAAACAAAAATTTTGTATTGTATTTTTGTCCTTATTGAATAGTATTTACCATGAAAGAACCTCCTTCCAAAATTGTGCTAAATACACATAAAAAAAACTTAAGAGCTTCACCAAGTAAAAACCGGATGCTCCAAAGCCTTCAGAATGCTGTCAGATACTTGGTTTAGGAGGAATTCAAAGGCTATGAAATTCATTTCTAACTTTATGCATATTTAAACTTCTAATTCAGTATCATCAAATAATGAAATTTTACTTGTTGATGTTTAAATCAATTTAAAATTCTAACAGAATATTGATAATAAATAATGTCCTTATAATATTTTGGTTTATGATACTTTTAGAAAAATTCATTCTTATATATCAATCGTTAAATTATTCATTTTAGGAAGTTCACTAAAATCCTTATTTTAAAAATTAGAAAACCTGACTTCTCAAAAGCATCATGTTTTATTCAAAGGCACACAACAGACAAATGGTAGAACCATTTCAGGGACACATCCAGGCACCTGAAAAGAAACGTGGCCTTGGAAAGATGCCATCTGAACGGGACAAGAGAACAGACAAGCTGCAGCACAGTCCAAACATTCAGAGCTAAGTGGAGTGATGTAATCACACACGTCTGAAGGCCCTTTATATTTGCAACCATTTTTTTTCCCTCAAGGACAAATCTTTTTTGAGATTGTTCCTATTTTTTGTCATGAAAAGCCAAAGAAAATGAGACAGAGAAAGAAGACAGAATTCAATTACAATCATGTTATTTAACATAATTTTAAACACATAAAAAATATTACTACAGAATTACTATAATGATGTTTAATAAAACATAGATATTTGGAAAAGAATGTATTGGTAAATGATTGCTGCTGAGAACCTGAATACACTTCAGTCACTCTTTCCCATTTAACTGTCAAGCTTCCAGCTGGAGAGAAGCCACTGTCAACTAGAGTGAATGGGTGCAAAGTGAGCTCATCACCATTGCCCTCTGGCTGGTTTTGAAGCTGAAGTAATAAGCATCTCAACTCCACAAAATCTATTTATTATACCCTATAGGACAGTCTCTCTGGAGCTGCTGGTGTTGGTGACAGAGGGCAGGCCTCATAAAGACGAAATCGAGCAGTAATTACCTGGGCATGTAAAGGACTCTCTCGGCCACAACAAACCCCACCCTGAAGAAGAGATTGCTGGCTGGAATGAACGGGAAAACCAGGAACAACAAACCCACCAACACCTCCTTGTGCTCCAGTCTCTGAAACACACAACAGTGAAGGGCAAATTAGTCTCAGGTTAATTCCACTTCATGGGGCATTTAACCATCTCTTTCATTTTCAAGTTCTCATTGAAGGAATGAATAGATTAGACCTATGAAAACCTTTTGATCAGTGTGCTGAATTCATCAGGAAAGCCCTGAGGCTAACACCATGCCAGAGGTGTTCACACATACCCAACAAACATTTGCCACCCGGACACATCTGCTATTTGCATAATGCAATCCATGACCATTACTTGTTCTGTGTGGCCCTACAGAAACCCTTTCTTGGTTCTATCCCCTTTCAGAATCTTTGCCCTCCTCCTTCCCTGGGGAAATTCATTCCCAGGGAACAAAAATTATATACTCCAGGCACTAAGGTATCATGTGAAACTATTGTCCTCTCAGAAATAGAATGCATTAAAAAATAATAATAATAAGCCCACACATAAATCCCACCAGGAGAAGCAGAGCAAGCACAAGAAAAGTTAAATGCAAATGGTAACATTTGGTACCAATGAGGGAGATCATTTGAGCTGAGGAGTTTTTGGCACCTCTCAAATAAAGCCAATAAGCAAGTATTTAATCCATGAAATTGTCTGGGATAAAAATTCATACAATAATAACTCATTATATTGACAAAGCACCTTTCTGTAATATTGTACATAGTAATTCATAAAGGTTTTCCTGTCACTTGTAGTCACAGAAAAAAGTTTCGGTTTCTAACTAATAAGTTGTAACAGACACTAAAAAGTATCTTGTATTTACATGAGTGTGTAAGACATGAAAACATTTGAAGACGGGCCTATTTAAAACAAATCCTAATGTACTGGGTGGCATTCTTTTTCCTTTTAAAAAAAGTTTAAGAAAAACAAGAAGAACTTTCCATATTATAGTTTTTAATGTTCCTTATGAACATTTTAAATAGTCTATTACTTTTAATAATTGTAGAAGATTAAATAAGTCTCAAACATATAAATAAGAAGCCATAATACAAATGACTAATACTTTAAGTATACAAAATAAAAGACTTTAAGCATCTACATATATAGGAGCCTAAGTGACTGGACAACCAGGTGACCATACAAATGGCTGGTAGGTATGACATGCACTGACCACTAGAGGGCAGACGCTCAATGCAGGAGCTGCCTCCTGGTGGTCAGTGTGCTCCCATAGCAGGAGTGCCACTCAGCTGACAGACGGTGCCAGACACAGGGCTGAAGGCTGGCGAGCACAGCTGCAGCCATGTGAGCCCCTCCAGTGGACACTCCCCCTGCATGCCTGAGCAGTGGCACTGCAGATGTAGCAGGGCCGGGACCAGTGGGAGTGGCGCAGTCCTCGGGGATGTTGGACTGCCAGTTTCCGAGGGATCCTGGATTGCGAGAGGGTGCAGGCCAGGCTGAGAGACCCCATCAGTGCATGAATCTATGCACTGGGCCTCTAGTCTTGAGATATCTGTCATCTGGATTTTATTAAAATCGTTGTTATTTTTATCACAACACAGAATAATAAAATTTCTGACAGCAAGTTCATATGAACAAATGTGATTTGGACAATTTCCCTTAATGGTTAACAATCTGTAAGTAGTGATCTAATTTTTTTATCTAAAAGAACCACACTACAAAATTAAAAGATGAAAGAAAAAGGAGAAAAGCTTGCATAATAAGAGTTCAAATTAAATCGATGCACTAATGTTATATATTCTATGTACCATTAAAATGAATTAAAAAAACAGGTGAAAAAAGTAGCAAGTTTTCAATGAACATTGAAAAGTTGCATGCTATCTTTGTAATTTAGATTATGCTTTGAGTTTACAAAATACATTTCAGTTCAAGAACTTAAAAGTTTATATAATTTAAAAAAGAATAAACACCTTCATAAAAATCCCGTGACATCAAAAGCAACTATTTCTTGCTAAAATTAAAAACAAATCTGAGATAAAGAAGTACAGATTGGTAGTTACAAAATATCCATAGGGCTATAAAGTACAGCATAGGAAAAATAGTCAACAATATTGTAATAACTATGTATAATGCCAGGTGAGTAATGGAAATATAGGGGAAAACACTTTGTAAAATATGTGATTGTTTAACTACTATGCTGTACACTAAAACTAACACAAAAATAACAATGAATTCAAATTGTATATATATATATATATATATATATATATATATATATATATATATATATTTATACATCCTAGAGAATGAGTGTCTAGTCAAGTGTTCTGCATGAACTCTGTGCCTATTTTTAAGTAAAGGCTTGGTGTGTTCTATCAGTGCACTTTTATTTTTTAAAGATAGTTGAATACTTCTTTTAAATCTTTCAAAAGCTGAGATGATTTTTTTTTTTTTTTTTATAGAGAGGAAGAGAGAGGGATAGCTAGAAACATCGATGAGAGAGAATCATTGATCAGCTGCCTCTTGCACACCCCTACTGGGGATGTGCCCACAACCAAGGTACATGCCCTTGACTGGAATCGAACCTGGGACCTTTCAGTCCGCAGGCCAATGCTCTATCCACTGAGCCAAACCGGTTTCGGCAGCTGAGATGATTTTTATGAAAATATTCATCTATCTTCCTGCAGAAAATTTTAAAGAGATTTTAATACTTTTAATTTATTAATCCTATAGAATTAAGAAGAATAAGGGACCTCCAAATGGGCTACTCACCATGTCCCTAGCTAGCGTTTAAACCAAAAGAGCTGCATCCCTGCCCCTCATCACCATTACCAAAGAACAGCCTTAACTGGGGATATGAAAGAGGCATCACCTTGATTCCCACAATGTAACACCTTCTTGCCTGACAGCAGGCCACCTTCCTCACCATCACAGCCATATGTTTATGCCCTTTGCTCAACAGAACACTGAGTGGCTCAGCATCCAGAGTGGAGGAGGCAGAGGTGGGCGTCAGGTGTTAGCAGAAGCCCAGCTCCATGCTGCCTCTCTCCTCTGTCACTGAGTGGGCAGGATCCCCAGATGCTCACTGCTGCTGGGGACATGGAGAAGGATTCTCAGACCCCAAGCACAGTTTTTACTTCCTTCATGGCAATCATTCCAATTGTAATGACCTGTTTATTTGTGCATTTACTGCCTTTAATGTCGCCACTAGACTGCAAGCTCTTATGAGGGCAGGGAGCTCGTCAAATGTGCTCAGGGGTGTATAACCTCTGTTTAGCTCAGTATCTGACACTTAGTAGGTCCTCAGAAATATCTGTTGAATAAGTCAGTAAATGAATAAATATACCAGGCAAAAGAGAAAATGGGTGTGAAAAGAGGGTAAAGAGGACTTCCTGGTAGAGGTGACAATCTAGGTTTGAAAAACGAATGAATGCCTAAAAGACAAATTTGGTGTGCTGCTTGTGGGGAGGGGGTCACAGCTAATCTAATTCCAGGGAGCAGATACAGAATGTCAAAGCAGGGACCAAGACTATACGTGTTGGTGGTTGGCAAATCACGAGAATCTTGTATGCCCTGTGTGGAGCTGACCTTTTTTTAGAGCCAACAGGGAACTATTAAGGTGTCCAACATCCATAGAAAGAAGAGCAAGTCAGTTTCCAGGATATGATGTCCAGATCAAGATGTGGCCCTGCAGTCTCTACACCATCCGTCAACTTGAGCGCGCACCCCGGTCCCTCTCCCATGCCTCAGCTATCAAATGAGATAAGTGAGGCTCAAGGTTCAGTGGAGCTAGATCATTACAAGGGCCCACATAATTTGACTTGTGAGTTGTGGATTTAGAGGCCACCACTTCAAACTGCTCCCAGAGGGTTTTTCTTTGTTTCCGAAGTATTTAATTGAAGACAGTGGCACTGCGCCCCAAATCAATGAAACTGTATTTTATTTTGGAAAAAAATAATATTCATGAAAAAATTATTCTCAAATTAAATTGATCACTACATTTTTTGTCTTCCCCTTTAGGTCAAG